ATTTTGTTAGTTTACAAAAACTCTACGAACTTATGAAACGCCTAATAGTTTAGTAGTAATTAAGTCACTACTGGCAATGAGTCACATAATACCTCCATTCCAGAAGAGGCAAAAAGCGTGTAAATTTTTTTTTGCAAAATGCCACGATTTAAGATGATTCAAGCTTGTTATGTCCGAGAAATACTGCTATAGCGGTGTCAAGGCGCCTCAAATGAATTCATAAAACATGCATAGCAGAGCGCGGAGTTCACGCTTGAAGAATGTGAATAATAATTATTAGATGAAAACCCATAGTAATAAATGTTAAAAAAGGTGTGACACTTCCGAAATGTAAAATATGTGAAGATTGCTTGATTGCAAGTGATAAGAGTGGAAAAAGTAGTGATAAGGGAATCAGCTTGAAATGCGTCGTCTTGCTCTCGTGCTTTTTCTGACAGGTGCACAAAAACGCTACTTCTTTTTGCTGTCTCCAAAGTACATTTTTTACAGCGGCCACTTATGCTGAGTTGACCAGCAGTGAGCTAAACAAGCATGCTCGTGCAATTCTCAATGACTGCACTAATTGTCATATAGTGAAGGTGCTGAAAGAGCGGCCTGAGATATTGAAAAAGGTAACTGTTTCTATCTTTACATCAAAAATCTACGCCTTTACGATCATATTCTTAGAGAGAAATTTGTAGATTTCGCTCTGACATTTCGTATACAACCGCATAGAAGGACTGGAAAAGAAATAGCGAAATAATAGAAGTTTATTGTGATCACACTGCTTCAGACAAGCACGCATACCATTCATTGTCATGCGTGTATGAAACATAGGCAAAACTAACGCTGATAGAACGCAATGCTTTATGAATTCTGCTGATAGGAGGTACGAGATTGGATGGATACTTACAGACTGGTTGACAGCACACCAAAATCCGTGTTTTTTACGACTACTGAGAAAACATAACAGATCAAGGTGATAGTTACTGCGTATTACAAAGAAACCGCAGCGTTGCACTTTAGAGTTTTTGAATATCTCTAGACTTCTAGTCTCAACTTTAGGTCACTTTAGACGTTGCCATCATTTGTAGGCGTCTGTACCTCAACTGCTTACAGTGTCAAGATCCGCAGCAAGAATTTGACAAATTATCTTATTTTTCTTATCTTGCAGGTGAAATCAGGTATCACAGTTCTGCCAGCTACCATGCGTCCACATGCTGTACAAGCATTCCAGCAATGGACAAATCACATTCTGGAGGTAAGAGCTTGAGGACAGCTTCTGACAAATCTGGCAATGGGGCTTTCATGTGGCAACTAAAAGAGCAAGGGGGAAGGGAACTACCCTAAAATCGCGCGGATAAGTCCGCCCTTTTTGTCAATAAAAATTAATAAAAATGCGCGCTTGCGCCGTCAAGAGTCCCGCAGATA